TTCACCCAGAGCTCCAGGAAGTTAAGAATGTAATTCGGCTTCGATAAATCAAGACTAAAATTAAGATGGCCAGATATGTAGCAGCCTGCTCAGGTGTATGGAGAATGTGAAATTTAGTGCCCTGGTAATGGGTAGCAGCAGATTATCTAATTACAGAGAGAAAGAAGAAATATTGCTCTCTGGGGTAAAAAGCTAAATGTTGCAATCCATTAAACCACCACATCTCTGCCAAAAGTAGATTAATATTAAAGTTCATGTAACATCTGACTTTTTTTTTTTTAAAGAATGAAGTCAAATGTTAGGAAAAAATAGAAATGAAAAAGCCATAGTTCAAAATAATTTTAATTTGACTGCTTGTCAAGTAGTTGTGTTTTTCATCTCTTGGTGAGAGGTTACATGTATGTGATTATAATAGATAAAGCTCTATTTTTCCCTAACGCTATATCTGCTTAAATTTTTATCAACATATCTTGGAGCTACGCTGGATGGACTTTCTCATGAATTAGATATGCTTTTGCAGAGGCAGGAAGGATACAATGCACTCACAGTGGGTGAGCCTTCCCACTCATCTTGTCTTCATCCCTGTGGGAAATCTAACCGTGTCCTAGCACGGTTAACCATGGCTTCAAGTATATCGGATGGAGTCAGTATCACACCGGTGTCCAACAGGGAGCAGAAACGAGAATTCCCACGTTGAAAACCTTAGTGAACTGGATGTGGGGTGTTTAACTGGGAAGTCAGGTCACGGGTGGACGATTACGTTGCCCTTGAAGTTCCATCACCTTTCCTACCACAGTGTCAGCAGCCACTTGACAAAGATTTACAGCCACAGAATTCCACAAAATGCTTTATATCTTGGATGCTTTGAATATAACCATGCCTATGAGAAATAGCCCTATTGCTCCCAGTTCTATTATTTCTGTTTTAAAACTAGTATTTATTCTAATTAATGTAAACAAGTCATGGCTTCTTGACTGAAAAATGATTCTTCCCTATTTGGAATTTCTAATCTGTTCTTTCCTGAAAGTAGCATGTGGAACAGGGACACGAATCAGATCAGGGACGTTAAATCAACCGCAGTGGACAATAATCTGGCAACAGATTGTCTTCCAACCCTGAAATCATATAATTCCCACTCACTTCAGCCATGGTCAGCATGTGGGTTAGTCTGGCTTCTCGCTGGCTCCTAAATAAACAAGAGATGATGTAAAGTGTCCAGAACACAGCAAACACTCAATAAAGGGCCTCCAACTATTTTTATTTATTTTCAAAGAATGCCAATGGCTGGTACATGGTGGGCACTAAATAAGCATTTGGGGCATCTCTTAATGGTCAGTGGCGCAGGCTTCCAGGAATTACAGAGTGTGTTTGGGAAGAGCCATTTACTTTTCAGAAGGACCAGCATGCACAAGGATGGCCACACTCTCTTTTAGATGAGTCTTCTAGAAACTGAGTAGGAAAAATGGCATGGTCTCTCTTTTTCAACAGCTTGAAAGAAGTGAGGATCAGAGACTGGTAAGAATATGAACTTATGGTTTTACCAGAATCATAATAAACTCTGCCACTATTTCTTTTATGTTAGATGAGCTCTCATACTGATTAAGTTGGCATCTCAGGGACAGAAGATTGCAGAAGACTTAAGAACTTCATTTTAGGCCGGCACCATGGCTCACTAGGCTAATCCTCCGCCTGCGGCGCCGGCACCCTGGGTTCTAGCCCCAATCGGGGTGCCAAATTCTGTCCCGGTTGCTCCTCTTCCTGTCCAGCTCTCTGCTGTGGCCCGGGAGTGCAGTGGAGGATGGCCCAAGTGCCTGGGCCCTGCACCTGCGTGGGAGACCAGGAGGAGCACCTGGCTCCTGGCTTCGGATCAGCGCAGTGCGCCGGCTGTAGCAGCCAATTGGGGAATGAACCAGTGGAAGGAAAACCTTTGTCTCTGTCTCTCTCTCTCACTGTCTAACTCTGCCTGTCCCAAAAAAAAAAAAAAAAAAAAAAAGAACTTCACTTCACTTCACTTTAGGGGCCAACACTGTGCCACAGTGGGTTAACGCCCTGGCCTGAAGTGCCAGCATCCCATATGGGTGCCAATTCAAGACCCAGCTGCTCCACTTCTGATCCAGCTCTCTGCTATGGCCTGGGAAAGCAGTAGAAGATAACCCAACTTCTTGGGCCCCTGCATCCAGGTGGGAGACCCGGAAGAAGCTCCTGGCTTCAGATCAGCACAGCTCCAGCCATTGCAGCCAACTGAGGAGTAAACCAGCAGATGGAAGACTTCTCTTTCTCTTCTCTCTCTGGCTCTCCTCTCTGTATAACTCTGACTTTCAAATAAATAAATAAATCTTAAAAAAAAAAAGTAAAAAAAAACCTTCATTTTAAAATTTGTGGGTTATGATTTTATAGTGTTCCACTGTAAGTTTGCCTTTAATTGACCATTTTTTCCACGTCCAGGTGCCATGCTAGGTAATTTTTAGTCATTCTTATAGCACATGAAGCAATGAGCATGATCAGTAGGGGTAACCCTATTAACATGAGGAATTTCACGGGCAGTGTCTTGTCTAAAGTTAACAAATGGTGAGGCTGGTGTGTTCGACTCACTGTTTTCCACCAACTGTTTTATTAAGCTGTAATTCACCCACTACAGCATCCTCCACTTAAGTGTAGTGAGAGCTTTTTATTATATCCACAGGATTGTGCAGCCTCTCATTCTTTTTTTTTTTTTTAAGATTTTTATTTATTTATTTTACAGGTAGAGTTACGGACAGTGAGAGAGACAGAAAGGTCTTCCTTCTGTTGGTTCACTCCACAAATGGCTGCAACGGTTGGAGCTGCGCTAATCAGAAGCCAGGAGCCAGGCGCTTCCTCCTGGTCCCCCATGTGGGTGCAGAGGCCCAAGGACCTGGGCCATCCTCTATTGCTTTCCCAGGCCATAGCAGAGAGCTGGACTGGAAGAGGAGCAATCAGGAATAGAACCAGCGCCCATATGGGATGCTGGTGCCGCAGGCGTAAGACCAACCTAGTGCACCATGGCGCCGGCCCGATTCTTTTTTTTTTTTTTTTTAAAGATTTATTTGAGGGGCTGGCGCTGTGGCATAGTGGGTAAAGCCACTGCCTGTAGTGCTGGCATCCCATATGGGTGCCGGTTCAAGTCCTGGCTGCTCCATTTCTGACCCAGCTCTCTGCTACAGTCTGGGAAAGCAATAGAAAATGGCCCAAGTCCTTGGGCCCCTGCACCCATGTGGGAGACCCTGGAAGAAGCTTCTGGCTTCAGATTGGTACAGCTCCATCTGGGGAGTGAACCAGCAGAAGGAAGACCTTTCTCTCTCTCTCCCCCCTCTGTAATTCTGCATTTCAAATAAATAAATCTTTTTTAGAAATGGGTATAGGCATTAAGGTTCAACCAAGGTTCAAACAAGGCAGCTTTTTAATTTAAAATAATTTATTTGAAAGGCAGAGTTAGAGATGGAGAGACAGATCTTCCAACTGCTGTTTCACTCTCCAAATGGCAGCAACAGCTGGAGCTAGGCCAGGCCAAAGTCAGGAGCCTCTTCCAGGTCTCCCACGTGTGTGGCAGGGGCCTAGGGACCTGGCCCATCTTCCTGTACTTTCCCAGGCAGATTAGCAAGGAGCTGGTTCAAAAGTGGAGCATATGGGATGCTGGTGCTGAGCAAGTGGCCTAACCTTTTAAGCCACAATGCCAGCCCCTGAAGTACATTCGCCAATGCCCAAGGTCACTTTCTTCTAAGGTGGGAAAAAACTGAGTTCACCCATTGACTCAGAATTTCATGAGCACACCTGTAAAGTGGTTTACACTTTCAGTTTGAGCCAGATGCTCAGGTTTCATCCTAGCCCCTTGATGACTGGGACCAGTGTGTGACCTTGGACTAGCTCCTTAATTTCTCTGTTCTCTTATCTGCAGAAAGGGATTGTAAAGGAGCAAATTCACTAAAAGCACCTGCACTGGTGCTTGATTTATACTACATACTCAATAAATGCAGCCTTAATAGATTTTCATAATGATAAATCTGCATATCACAAGGTCCTGAAAGTAGTTTCTGAATTATGAAAATAAAATTGTGGTCAGTTGTAGGGACTCAGTTTGACATTACTGCAAGCACTTTGGATGTAACAGTCATCTAGTCCTTTAGGTTAGCTGGAAGGTCAACCTAAGCCCTTTGGGAGAAACAATAAGGTAGCCTAATGGGCTTGCCTTTTGGGGCCAGACATTGTAATATCCCTATCTAATGCTGGCCATGTTAAATTGTTTGTTAAATTGTTATTTATTTGAGCAGCAGAGGAGAGAGCGCGAGAGCAAGAGCAATTGATTCCATCCATTGGTTTATTCCCCAAATGCCTACCACTGCCAGGGACAGGCTAGCTCAAAGCCAGGTGCAAGGAACTCAATCAGTCTTCAACGTGGGTGGCAGGAACTCAAGTCCTTGAGCCACCACCTGCTGCCTCCCACGATGTACATTAGCATGGAGCTGGACTGCAGGAGCAGGACTCCATCTCGGGCACCCTGGTGTGGAATGCAGGTGACCCAGGCAGTGGCTTAACTGGCCCTGAGACAACCATCCCATCCTCTGGATGTATTTCTTGAGAAAGTCCAGGCACACGTATTAGCTAAGGGCCACTTTTTTTTTTTCTTTTTTTAGGTGTTGTGTATTCACATACACACACACATTTTGATGGCTAGTTTAAGTTATCTCTATTTGTTTGACTGTAGGCATTATTCCTGTAAAACCTCTTGGTAGTTATAAGACTTTTTCTTGTTAAGTTCTTGGGTTGTTATCTGTCAATCAGCCTATGACAAAAAAATTCTTGAAATGAAGGTTAAGGTGGAAGAGAAGGCAACGTGCTTTAAGTAGAGTGCGTACATCAGGCCAGACTATGCAGGCAAACAGGTGATCGGAATGTTACTTGTATCTCCACAAATTGAATGCTTTGTGGCTTCTTGATAAGACTATAACAGGGTCATAGGAAAGAAAAGGAGGGCGAACAGAAGATAAATAACATTCCCTTTATTTTTACCAGTTTGAGTTTACTGTTTGAATTGTTTGGGGATACAGGGTTGATTAATCTCTATGACCAGTTAACTAAGAAACTGTTTCCTTAGCAGCAAATCCAAGATTCCACACCTTCTTGGAAAATGGCAAAGTAGTTGTTTACTAGTAGTTTGATAGAAAAATTCTTTAATCAAAACAAGTTTACACATTGACACTTATGGCTTAACTAGAATAAATTTGTCCAAGTTAAAACTGAATTATGGACCGAAACAGGGCCACTTTTGTCTGTAAAACCCTTTTTCTTCTTCTTTGTGACACAGAGATCCATAGGACTGTCTTACAGCTGCTGGAGACCATGCTTCGGTCAGTACATAAATCATTCTGGGCCCAGGATTTGTCCCTTTCCTTTGGTCTCATGGCACTGTGTACCCTTGATGACCACTTTTCAAACAATATTTTCCAAAACAGTGAAGTGATTCATGACCTGTCAACAGTTTACTAAGTTCTTTTACAGCTGACCCTCTGGCATTCAGAAGGTATTTCCCTGTTTAAGATCCACTCTCTGAGATGCCAGGTGCCTACCTAGTATCACCTTTTCTCATTCTGAGAGAGCACCGCATTTATTCTGGGTGGCACTGTGTCCATGGAAGGACTGTATTTTTGGCCTCTCTCCCAGCCGCGGTAGCCAGATGTGAAGACAGATGTAGCTTAATAAGGTTTCGGAGAGGGGTCCGTCAAGCAGACTGACTGGAGCTCTGACGTCAATACTGGCCCATAAACTGAACTTAAGGACGGAATAGGCATTCAGCACCTACTATGTGCTACCCATTGTTTTGAGAGGACTGGATATGCAAGGGAAAATCCCCTGCTCTCAAGGAATGAGAAGTCTGGTGGAAGAGGTGAATTAATTACAACATGATGAGGCTACTGCCACAATCAGGGGTTGGAGCAGGCTTGAGCGGTCAGGATGGACTTGAGCACGCAGTGAACTTGAACACAGAAGAGGCCATCAGGTATGGAGAAGACATTTTGGGCAGTGCTGTTGGACATCATCTAACCCTTGGCTACCGTAGGAGCCAGGGTTTTCTCTTCCTCCATCCCCTCATCTTTTAGGATCTAAGTTAGTGGGGGATGTCCTGACACACGGTAGAACCAAGCAGCACCTGTTATGTCAACACTGTGCACTTCATTCTATCAAAGGCTGGGATGGAAAGGCTACAAGGCCCATGTCCTGTCGACCCTACCTGCTCTGCTTCACTCCTGCCGTACACGGGGAGAAGGCAGTGCTGGTGGAGGGGTACTCTGAAGCCACGACACCGTATGGTGGGCTCACAGACCCAGCTGGGCAGTGGTTTGCCTGAAAGGCAGAGGGGCCTGATGACAACTCCAAGATTCACCTGTGTCCTCCAGTCTCTGAGCATGCAGAGTCAAGTTTATGATTTCTAATGTGAAGACCGGTATGTACAAGTAAAAACTGTCCTCATCTAATATAACACTCACACACTTTTTTTTAAAAAAGAAATTTATTATTTTGCTTATTTGAGAGGCAGAGAGGGAAAGAGAACAAGAATGAAAGCAAGCAAGTGCGCGAATGAGAACGAGCGCTTATCCGCTGGCTCAGTCCTAACTGCCGCCAAGTCAGGGCGAGGCCAGCAGCTGGGAACTCCCATGCGAGTGGCAGGGGCCTAACTACTTAAGCCATTGTCTCTCAGGGTGTGCATCAGTAGGAAACTGGAACAGGATACAGAGCCAGGACTCAAATCGAGGCACTCCGATAAGGGATACAGGCATTCCAACTGGCATCGTGACTGTTAGGCCCTAGCCACTCTCTTGACTCAGTAACATGAAGGGCAAAGTGGGGAACTCAGAATCTTCATGTCCTCGGAAGCCAGGGTGGGAACTGTGGCCTACAGGCCACATTAGCTCCACAAAGCCATTTGGACTGGCCCTGCCAAGGCAGCTGCAGACAGGACTGGAAATTCAGGAAACCTACAGCAGGCCATTGTTAAGCTGGTAACTTTGTATGGCCCGTGAATGTTGTAAATATCCAAATAGCCTTGGAAGAAAGGTTCCCCAACCCTGTAAAAAGAAACACAAAATCCTGATTTGCCTGGAGAAGGGAAAGGAAATTAACCTTTTCTGACAGCCATGGATCGTATGTTAAGCTTTTTCCCCACACATTTTCTTCTTTAATGCTCCAAATTTACAGAGTTACTTTATTTTTCACATTAAGAAAGCAGGGTACACTGCTTGGCCAGTAAGTGATTAAATCAGGACTCAAGGTGCTGCGTATCTCCTTAGTAACTGCTCATCTGCTTGGACTTTGAGCTGTACACTGGTTAGACTCAGCAACAGCACCGAAACATTAAGCAGCATGAACCAGTCCAGCGCTCGAAGGCTCCATTTCCCTGAAGATCTGGATGGGTGAGCTCTGGAGCGCTGGAGCACGGGTGACGAGTCTGCCGAGTCAGGAGGGCTCTATAACCAACTGTCTCTTCACACAGTGCCCAGGCAGCAGCCATCCTTAGAAAATCTCATCATTCAGCTTAGAAAAATCTCATCAATATAAGCCCAAAACTTGTGAGATCCCGGACTTTCCCATCTCTTCTGGCACATGCCAATAAACCAACAAGGAAGAAGAATCATCCACCCAAGGGGAATGTGCCTTAATCCAGTGTCTTCCAGGGCAGTTCAGTCGTTGGCTTCACCCCAGTGAATACTGGGAAGAAAGACACCACAGGAAAGAAAGAAACAAAAAATTTTTCAATCACGTTTACTAGCTCACATAAATATCTGAATACAAATCCACTGGTCTCCCCTTTCTGTCTTCTTGGCACCATTTATCATTCTCAACGAACAAACCACTATAAGTATCCATAAGGGCAAAAGGAACTTTTGGACATGAGAGGTTAATTGATAGCCAGATACGTCAACCACGGTAAGGACTGTCTTTTTTTTAAGGTTAAACCATTGATTTGGAGCTTTTATTAAAATAAATTTCACCTATAAAAACAAGGTTATTTATAACTTGATCTCAACTTTCTTGGATAGCAGTTGAATTTTTACATAAAAAAAATTGCAAAATGTCAAACTAAAGAAGGAATAAAATGTTAAGACACCAGAATAAACTTGAAAACCTCCATCAACTTCAGCAAAGAATGACCGCAACATCAATTCACGAGTCCGCCGATCCAGGACAGACCTTGCGTTTACAACACTTGGAATCACTCTTCTGGACGGTAGGGGCAGCTTCTAGTGGGAATTAGTATAGAGTCTGTTCTTGATGAAGACAACACTAGACAGATGTTGCCTGATGCCTGGATAATGCTGGATGTGACAAAACCAGCGAGACACGTTAAGATATTTCTCCTTTTCTTGAACTGTCAGGTCAACCTAAGTAGAGATGAAAAACACACAAACACAACACAGACATTACACGAGTCCAGCTGTTAATGCCAGTTAGGTTAAGAGACAGAAAACACCCCCCATCGTCCCCTGCAACAGTTTTCAAAAGCCAGTCTGTTTAGGTAGGAATAAAATTTTCAGCCACTTGGAACAGCTCTTCATTTGTTCAGTGCTTTTATGTTTAATTCAAAACCAGATGTGCTTTCTAGGAAATTACATCAAGTGTTTAACAAATACAAAATCCACATCAACACAGGACTTCGCTGGAGGCCCAGAGATTGTTTTTTTTACTTTATTGGAAAGGAAGATAAAGGAAGAGAAGAGTTTCCAAAAGTCTAAGATAGTGTCCTTTTTTGCAAGCAAACCTAAAATATGAAAGGTTTATTGATACCTAACATCTTTAACATGTGAATACTATGTTCTGTCCCTCTCACACACACACATCTACCTCTAAATGGCTCATGTTTTGAGGGTTCTTACAAGTTAAGTTTATTTTGATGTAAAATTTTTGAAATTCATGCGTAGTTTTTTCATAATATTCATTTCCATGAACTTTTTCAAGACCACTCAAATGAGTGGACTTCAAATTTTTTTGCACCAGAATAAACTTAATTCTACTTTTCCATGAACTTTTTGAAGTCCCCTTGTATGTAACTACTTCTGCCATTCTACTCAAACTTGAACAAAGATCTGCCTCATTTCGTAAGTGATCACTGATGAACAAAAGGGCTATTTCTACTGGCACATGGCTCAGATGAGGGAGACCAAGTACATAATACATGAGAGTAACATGGCTTGCAAGTTCTGTGTGCAACAAAGGTGAACTCTGCCTTTTTAGTGGAGGTAGCAGCTTCCATAATTTACTACCAGGCTACAGGAATGCCCAGAGATTTGGTTAGAGAGACATGCAATGAGGACTCCAGGCGTTCTTTGGGCTCAAGCCCCAAAGCAGGTGACTCAAAGATTTTTCTCTAAAGCAAGTTCTGGAATTACTAAGAGCTGCCAGGTGAAGAGACAGACAATAGGGGAGGAACTTGCAGCCCTGATCCCAGGTATGGGCAGTGTAGTTCCCTCTCCTGCCACTAATTTGACATTTTTATAGATGTCACGATTATTTTACAGATGTTACTACAAGTCTTGATAACAGCATCAGGAATGTTAACACAAAGAAAAAAAATTAGCCACCCTCCAAGAGGGTCAGACTCCTTAGGGATCTGCTTATTCAGTGTCATTTTAGTGAGACGGAAATCCTGCAGCTTTTCAGAATTTAGCTTGTAGAGCCCGCATTGGGGTGCAGTGGGTAAAGCTGCCACCTAAAGATGCTGGCAACCCATCTGGGTGCCGTTTCAAGTCCCGGCTGCTCCACTTCCGATCCAGCTCCCTGCTAATGTGCCTGGGGAGGCAGCAGAAAATGGCCCCAGTGCTTGGGTCCCTGCACCCACATGGGAGACCTGGATGAAGCTCCTGGCTCCTGGGTTTAGCCTGGCCCAGCCTTGGCTATTGCAGCCATTTGGGCAGTGAGCCAGCAAATGGAAGATGTCCCTCTAATTCTTTCAAATAAATAAACTTAAAAAAAAATAATTTAGTTTGTATTTGCTGGCAAATATCCTAAATTATCAGATCAACAAAAATGAAGGACAAACCACTCTAGTATGCGATAATTAATACGGAATACACACTAATGTTAACAGTAAGATTTGAAAGTAGGAAGCGTCTGCTCTAAATGCTTAGCTGACCTAACCGTTAGCTCGGCTTCCTTCAGCTGCCACAGCAGTGAGAGTCACATCGCTTCTTGACATCAACACTGAGTTTCAGGTTTCGTGACACACACAGAAGGCCTACACTCAAGCTGCTATTGCAAATTGTAAACATATATTCATTTTGGGGCTGGCACTGTGGCGTAGAGGGTAAAGCTGCCACCTGCAGTGCTGGCATCCCGTATGGGTGCCAGTTTGAGTCCTGGCTGCTCCATTTCCAATCCACCAATCCAGCTCCCTGCTGATAAACGTGGGAAAGCAGTGGAGGATGGCCCAAGTACTTGGACCCCTGCACCCACGTGGGAGACCTGGAAGAAGCTCCTGGCTCCTGGCTTCAGATTGGCCCAGTACTGACTGTTGCAGCCACCTGGGGAGTGAACCAGCAGATGGAAACTCTCTCTTCCTCTCTCTGTAACTGTTTCTTTCAAATAAATAAATAAATCTTTAAACAAACAAAAAATTCATTTTGTTTGAGGAGGCATTTTGTATTTGTCACTCATCAGAAAGGTGTTAGTATATTGTCTTACCTACAAGACAGTCCATGGCACAGAAATAAATACCTCACACATTGGTCAAGAAAAGTGGACAAGAACATCTCTTTTTTTCACACAAAAGTTAGTTTATATTGAAAGGGAATTTATAGTTTCAGATGTAAAGAATTATATCTTTAACTATTTGGTGCAAAATTAGAAGTAAGGTATTTGAAAAATTTAGTCACTGTAACTCTAACACTGTAATAAGAAATGGGGATGAGTTTTTTCCCCAAAAATGAGTGAATGAATAAAATTCAAAGCCAGCTTCAGCAAACCTATTTGCTGACAGTTAAAGCAAACAGAAGCAACAGTAAGTTTTACTCCAACCTGATTTCACGTTCTCTGCTCAAATACGATTCAAATCTGACTTGCTTGTTATTACCAGGTCTATTATTTGAAACAACAACAATATGCAGCACACAGCAAAATAACTCCAGCTTTAAAACTTCACACGCGGTCTCTAGTATGTAAGGATGATGAATAGGGCCACCATACAAAATTCTACATGTCCTGATGTGTCCCAGCAATTTCTGACTAGATGATCTGTTATGGAACATTGTGCCAGAGATCCACAGAGCTCTTCCAAGAGGATCTAAAGTCTGAGCTGGAGAAAATCGTGACTGATGCTCTCTGCTACGTTTGTGGCAGATACTGCACATATGAACGTTCTGTAAACAAAGAAACAGCTGACTCTCCCCTACCAGATTCACAGTGTTTTAGACAGTTTGGATGGACGTCCTTGGACTGTTTCGCTATATAGCATAGTTTCTCATCAGCCCTTTCTAGTCAGCTAACATTTTCCACCACTTACACACAATGCAGCTGTTCCAGTTACCGTTGCCTGATTCCTTACTGGTCGACACACCAGTGAGTCTATGGTGGTGCCCAGCTCTCTCCACCTAATCATTCCTTGTTATTTGTACTGGCACTACACCATTACTTTGAACTTTACAGCCAAACAGTTTATATTCTGAGTCACTAATTTTCCATGGAGACCAGTGAGAGACACTTGAACTGACCCACTCCACACCAGGGTGCAATGCTGGTTTGCAACCCTTCTAATTGGCACCAGCCTGCCGTTGGGCTTTCTTTAGGCCAGTGCTCCTGGATTGTTTTCCAGCTAGTTCTTTTACTTTTCCTTCCTTTCCATAAGAGAACTACACACTGGCACTGGTGCGCTATACTTCAGAACAAATGGATTTCAGTTGATAACAACCCCAGAGTCAAACAGCACAAAACAGTACAGAGGACTTCAGTATCTTGAGCAACAGGCTGTTTTCATGGGGACGGCTATCTGCTATGAAATCATTCCAAAAAGGCAGCGAGCCGCTCCCTGGTGTTAGAACCAAAGCCACACCAGCGGGCACTTTAACAAAGGAAACAACACACCATTCTCCAAAAGGAATTCAGATGGAGCAGATCTTACAATCAGAATAACTCAGCCACAACTGAAAGGGGGCTGACCTCAAAGCTCCTTATTTACACTCTGTGCTGATGATACACTAAGTATTCAATAACGTGAACAAACATAACCAAAGCAAATTAAGCACAAAAACTTGATGAAAACAAGCAGGGAGCCAATCTAAACTTCTCATCTACTCTACCTGAATTTAACATCTAGCAATCACTTGTCTCACCTGGGTCAATTTAGTCCCAACAGGGATGTCATCCAATGCCACAGGGCACTTCCGTCACTGTGTAGGTCCTTGTGAGGCCTGCTCCTGGGGAGGGCGCTTATTTCTCTCACTGCCTGCACTTGGATCAGGGTGAGGTTATGCATCCAAAAGGACGGTCAGCAGAGTGACTTACATATTAGTCCACTCAATTTCAATTTGAAAAAAGTAAGTGTGACATCCTCGTCACCATATATAAAGAGAACAAACACACTCACACATGCTCATTCCAAAATAGGAAACAAATAGCTACAAACTGTTAAGTACTGTTGTTGTAACCGTAACTTCAACAGGCAGAATCAAATGAAACACTTCCAACCATCTGAAGACCAAACGCTCTCATACTTGAGTGCGCCTGCTTTGCATCATGGGATGACGCCCTCATTCACTCTGCTGGCAGAGGAATTCCACACAAGCTCCCCCCTTGTCAGGCCACTTCCTTTCTCTATCGCATGGGTGTGGAAGCCAGAAGACAGGACAATGTAAATGTATACAAGGCTGGCCGGAGTTATACCTCCTTATTATCTCAAAAAAAAAAAAAAAAAAAATAGATGGGAGAAATGCTCTTTTTTAATGACAGCTCCATGCTACATACAGGAAGCCAGAGCGCGTGAGCCCTGACAGTCCCTGGACGCCATCATCACCCCCAGGATTCAGATTGGCACTTCTCCTGGCACTCAGCTTAAAACAGTCGAACAATGTCAAAACATTATGCTACATTTGAATACGTTTGAAAAATGCCAACAGGTTTGTTGCTGTGTTCCCAGAGGAACTGCCGCACACACCCCGCCATAAGGCAGCCGTGCCGGGAGCAGCAGAGCCTCACTCAATTGACGCTAGGGGTTCCCCCAGGGTGGAGAGCTATCGGTTTGCCACCAGGACACAGATGCTCAGAGAACTCACAGCAGACCCTGTTTACCTTGGAGAATTTTTTCGTTCTGAAATGAGGTAAGCTGTATCACGTCATCATTCTAAATTCAAAAAGCCACTAAAATACACTGAACCTAGAATGGAGTAAGAAGAGGCTGGTGTGATCGATATATTTCCGCCGCACTTAAACCTGCTTCACATTTATGTACACTTAACTTCGACTGAATTAGATTGAAGCTATCTGATGAGGACACTTTCACCATAAAGATGCCCGGGACTATAGATAGGTAGATTGTTAAATACTGCTCTTTTTTCTTTTTTTTTTTTTTAAGATTTATTTATTTATTTGAGAGGTAGAGTAACAGACAGTGGGAGGGAGAGACAGAGAGAAAGATCTTCCTCCTGTTGGTTCACCCCCCAACTGGCCGCTACGGCCGGTGCCACGCCAATCCGAAGCCAGGAGCCAGGTGCTTCTTACTGGTATCCCACGCGGGTACAGGCGCCCAAGCACTTGGGCCATTTTCTACTGCCTTCCTGGGCCACAGCAGAGAGCTGGATTGGAAGAGGAGCAACCGGAACTAGAACCCGGTGCCCATATGGGATTCCAGTGCCGCAGGTGGAGGATTAGCCAAGTGAGCCACGGTGCCGGCCCAAACTGCTCATCTTGGTAAGCATTCAGCTGTCCAAGGCGATGTGCTAGGAGCCAGGAGGGTTCCGGGGGAACAGGACGTGACTTGCCATTATGCATCTCTTCACGTAAAGTCGAGCCATGTTTCTGATGAGTACAGAGGGCACTCGTTCCACCTCACTGCTTCTGCCCCCTTCCATAGCCAAAACTGTTGTTCCGCATGAGAAATCAGACGGCCCTCTTACTTAGAAGCAATCTTTACAAACTCACCACACGCTTCTAAAACCACCCAAAGTTCTCTCGGAGAGCCAAGGACACACAGATTGTACATACAATTTTCCAGCCATTTAATGATTCTACCTCCTATTTTGTCTTCACTTTTAAAAGATCACCTGACGTTCTGATTGGAAATCAGCACTGGATATCATTTTCTCTAATTCACTCACTGTCTTAATGTAAATCAGTTTACTCCTTTTATGAGAGGAACAGTTCTTTGAAAACAGGGTTTTGTGCTTCTTCTGAGCCCCTACAACTTCAGTACTCTGGGCACCTATGGGAGGCTCCCAATAACTGATTTTAAACACGCTAACTGCATCACACAGCATTATGGCTTCCCTGTACTTCAGGCCTCTGAGTTGGGAGTTCTGGTTAGTCTCGGACATTGCAGCACTGAGCTCTGTGCCTGGACGTAAATCACCCGACCTTTGCAGCCACTAATTTCCTTCTCTGTAACAGGGGGAGTACTGCTGGTCTCATCTCCTTCACAGTTATGGGGTACACTAACAATACATATATGAAGCTCCTTGCAACTACATAGCAATATGTTAAAAATGTACTCAATGCTACAGAAGACTGACTATATATGTGTACCAGGAATTACATCAGACAGTGCTTTCACAAGTATGAACTGGTGGGGCTGGTGCTATGGTGCAGTGGGTAAAGCCGCCACCTGCAGTGCCAGCATACCATAAGGGCGCCAGTTCAAGTCCCGGCTGCTCCACTTCCAATCCAGCTTTCTGCTATGGCCTGGGAAAGCAGAAGATCCCCCAAAGCCTTGGGTCCCTGCACCCACGTGTGAGACCCAAAAGAAGCTCCTGGCTCCTGGCTCCAGACAGGGCCAGCTCCAGCCATTGCAGCCAACTGGGGAGTGAACCAGCAGATGGAAGACCTCTCTCTCTGCCTCTCCTTCTCTCTCTGTGTAACTTTGACTTTCAAATAAATAAATAAGTCTTTAAAAAATATATATGAATTGGTTTAATCTCGTAACTCAAGCAGTGTATAATTAAGGGAAACGTTCAGAATCACAGTACAAAGTGGAACAAGCTAGAGCTGGGGTCATCTATGAGGTGCAAAGAGAAATGCAGGAAGGAGTATTCCAATGCGCCTCAGGAGCCTGAGAGGGCTCGAACCAAGGAACGAGTGCTGGGACTCAGAGACACTTGCTGAGCTGTAGATGAGTGGGCGAGGGGATCACAGAGCCAAAGAGCAGAGCAATGCTAGGACCCAGGGTGGAAGAGCGCAGTGGTCAGCGGGCTCCGGGCAGGCTATCGCTGGAAGACGGTGATGTGTATGAGGCTTGAGGGAGGCAGGAGGCAGACGATGCAGTGTCTCCCACGCTATCAAATCATTCTGTAGGGAGCGAGCAGCACTGAAGTCTTTAGAGAGAAAAAGACATGCCACCTCTCAACGCTGGCCATCCAGAGTCCTAGCGCTTCCTGAGATGGCCGGTCAGAGATGAGACTGGTGGCAGGAGGGCAGGCAAAACGTTATGAATTCTGGAACGAGGGCAGTGTCATCTGGGATGCAGGAAGACACATGTGACAGGCTCCCAGGAGTGGGAACATCAGGACCTGACTGACTGGAAGCACAAAGCACCCAACAACAGAGGGCTTTTCCCACAGCGGGAAGCTGAGTGCTGCGTGGCAACAGAAGTCTTCTGCTGGAGACAGATTTAAAAAGCAGGAACTCCGGAGCCGAACTGCCTGGGTTCTGGACCTGATCTGTCACTGACCCGGGTGACCTCAAGGACAACATCCGATCTTCCTGTGCCTCGGTTATCTCCTCTGATAACAACAGGGCCCACTCGATAGGCTGTTTTAGGGATTAAATGAGACTACAGCATGAAAACAGTGTCAAGTGTCATAAAACTGTCTGTAAATGCATCTAAGATGTGAGACAATTTGAAATAAAGCAACTGATCAGAAGGAGGGCAAAACTGAAGCTATGAGAGAGAAAGGGGATAAAATGTGGGAGAAGACCCAGCAGGGGTAGGAGGTTGAGGGGAGCTGAGGTGAAAAGCCAGATGGACGGACTCTCCTGGGAAAAAAGCAGACCAGGAGCCTCCATTTTCTAAATGAAGGAAGGAGGAGAGTTTAGGGATAACAGCGGGAGATACAGGGGGAAGAAGAGCAAGGGGGCGTGGTGAAGGGGTACTGGTCGTGAAGTATGTCTAGGAGTAAGGAAAGAGCTGATCAAGGAGTCCAGGTGAAATGCACAGTATAAATCTGCAGTGGCAGTAGCCTGCACTTCTGTGGTTTCTCCAACAGATCTGCGCTTAGATACTGGAATGAAGATACTTATTTGAACTGGCCAAGAATCAGGGATTACCAGGGAAAGATGGTGACCATACCACGAGCAGAGGACCTAAAGGTGCTAATAAGAGAATGTACATGGGACCAGCTCTGTGGCGCAGTGAGTAAAGCTGCCGCCTGCAGTGCTGGCATCCCATACGGGCACTGGTTCGATTCCCGGCTGCTCCACGTCTAATCCCGCTCTCTGCTATGGCCTGGGAAAGCAGTGGAAGATGGCCCAAGTCCTTGGGCCCCAGCACTGGCGTGGGAGACCTAGAAGAAGCTCCTGGCTTCAGATCGGCACAGCTCCAGCCGTTGCAGCCATCTGGGGAGTGAACCAGTGGATGGACGACCTCTCTCTGCCTCTCTGTAACTCTGCCGCTCAAATAACTAAATAAATCTTAAAGAGAAAGAGATATGGGTGGGGATTAGGGATTAGGAGATAAAATGCATAGGGCTGGGACTGTGGTGCAGCTGTTAAGCCCCTGCCTGCGATGCTGAATCCCACACTGGAGTGCCTGTAAGTCCCAGCTGCTCCAATTCCAGATCCAGCTCCCTGCTAATGCACCTGGGAAAACAGAAGATGGCCCAATACTTGGACCCCTGCAACCACGTGGGAGTTTCAGGTGGTATTCCTGTCTCCTGGGTTTGGCCTGGCTCAGCCCTGACCATTGCAGTCACCTGGGGACTGAACCGATAAGGAAGATCTCTTTCTTTCTATCTCTTCCTCTCTCTGTCACTCTGCCTTTCAAACAAACAAACAAACAATAAGTCTTTAAAAACAAATGCGTGGATAGGAGGCCTAGAGGGAGAGTGGTATGAAGACGGGGTCCAGAGAAGCAGCTGTAGCAGGGCAGAAGCACAGGCAGAGAAACGAGCACTTCAAGGAACAGGCAGCAACAGGTGGAAGGACTCTCTGTGCAGGTACTTTACATAAAATTAATTCTGGGCCTTTTATTTGGTAAATTGAAAATGCAAATTTGATCTGAACTCAAGACAAACTGTAACAACTCACTCTGAACACTAGAGAAGAGTCAGTCTACACTGAAATACTCACTATAAAGCGATGTAGCCCATAGTAGAGGAGGATATCTGCTAAGGTAAAGTTGTGTCCTGTAAGGTAGACTTTGTCTTCAAGATACGAATTGAGATCCTAGAAGAGAACAGAAGTAAAGTTAATTACCGCGTCATGGCTAAAAACACGTAGTACAGTAAAACAAAGCACTGGCTTCTTTGACGTTAATATTCATTCAGAACCACAAATCATTTTCCAAATACCTCACTATGAAATTGTATATACAATATTAGTCTTAAAGAAATAAGAAAACATTAGGAAAAATATTTGAAGTGCTATCTATGATCATTTCAAAGAGTTCAGTTATTGTTCTTGGAAGCATTTTGTAAATTATGTTCAGCTGGCATTGTGGCGTAGTGGATAAAGCCTCTGCCTGCAGTGCCGGCATCCCATATGGGTGTCGGTTTGAGTCTCAGCTGCTCCTCTTCTGATCCAGCTCTCTACTATGGCCTGGGAAAGCAGTGGAAGATGGCCCAAGTCCTTGGGCCCCTGCACCCAGTTGGGAGACCTGGAAGAAGCTCCTGGCTCCTGGCTTCGGATCAGCCCAGCTCTGGCCATTGCAGCCAACTGGAGAGTAAACCAGCTAATGAAGGCTTTTCTCTCTCTCTGCCTCTCTGTAACTCTGCCTTCCAAATAAATAAATATTTTTTTAAAAAAAAGTAAATTATGTTCAGATTAGATCTCCTTTTTTTCACTAAAAAACTCCATAGCAGTTTCTGTCTCTTCTCTTCTGAGAATCCTGCTATTGGTTGTTGCACTTTTTGTATATATGTGTATTTTATAATTTTCAGTTGGGGTACCATGCACATAACACAAAATGTACCAGTGTAACTGTTTTCACTTTTGAAAAGTCTGTTTATTCTTATTTATTTGAAAGGCAAAGTGACAGAGAGAAAGAGATCTCTTCCAAGTATCTGCAACAACTAAGGCTGGGCCAGGCCAGCGCCAGGAGCCTGGTACTCAGTCCAGGTGTCCCACAAGAGTGGCAGGGACCCGAGTACTTGAGCCATCACCTGCTGTGCCCCGGGGTGTGCATCCGAGGAAGCTGGAGTCAGAGGCAGAACCTGATCCCATGCACACCAGTAGGAGATGCAGGTGTCCCAAGTGGCAGCTTAATACACTGCAGGCCACAACGCCCACCTCTTCACCATTCTTAAGCATACACTTCCGTAAGCGTTAAGGATACTCATATGTTGTATAACTAATCCCCAGAACTCTTTCATCTTGTAAAACTAAAACGCTACACGCATTAAACAATTCCTCACTTTCCCTTCCCCCTCCAGGTCTGCGCGACCACCGCTCTACTTTGTTTCTGAGAACAGGAATACTCTAGTTACTTCATACAAGCGGAACCTGAAGCATTCGTACTTTTCTGACGGGCTTGTTTCACAGAGAATAATACTAATATTTGTCCACATTGGGGTATGCGGCAGTTCCCTTCCTTTTAAAGGTTGAATTATATCCCATTGTATTTTTTTTTTATTTATTTATTTGAAAGAGTTACGGGGGGCGGGGGGGTTACAGAGAGGTCTTCCTCTGCTGGTTCACTCCCCAACTGGCCCTAAAGGCCAGGGCTGAGCCAAGCTGAAGCCAAGTGCCACAAGCTTTTCCAGCTCTCCCACAAGGGTAGTAGGGACCCAAGCACTTTCCCAGGCCATTAGCAGGGAGCTGGATAGGAAGTGGAGCAGCTGAGACATGAACCAAGGCCCACATGGGACGGCAGTGCTGCAGGCCGCTGCTTGACTTGCTATGCCACACACTGGCCCCCATTCCATAAACCACATTTTGCTTGTGTGTTCATTTATCAATAGACGTGGGTGTTTTCACCTTGTGGCTACTGTGAATAATGCTGGTACAAATATCTCTTTTAAGTCATGTTTTGAATTCTTCCAGGTATATACCCAGAAGTGAAACTGCTGGATCATTTGCTATTCTATTAATTTCTTAATAAATTGCCATCCTGTTTTTCTCTTCTAGGATTTACTTATTTATTTAAAAGAGAGAGAGAGAGAGAGAGAGAGAGAGATATTTTCCATTCACTGGTTTATTCCCCACAGCAACTAGAGCTGGCCTAACCCAAAGCCAGGAGCCAGAAACTTCCTCCATGTCTCTCACCTGGGTGCAGAGGCCAAGGACTCGGGCCACCCTCTGCCCTCTGCTCTTTTCCCAAGCACACTAGCAGGGAGTTGGATCAGAGTGGAGCCGCCAGGACTCGAACTGGTGTGTCCCTATGGGATACCTGTGTAGGAGGTGGTGGCTTAACTGGCTAAGCTGCAAATGCCAGTCCCTTTTTGCCCATTTTAAAATTAAGGCTATTAGCTTTTTGTTGTTGTTGTTGAGTTGTAGGTAATTTTATATTTAATTTATAGGCAGAGTTACAGACAGTGAGAGGGAGAGACAGAAAGAAAGTCTTCCTTTTGCTGGTTCACTCCCCAGATGGCCACAGACCCGGAGCTGCGCTAAGCCAAAGCCAGGAGCCAAGAGCTTCTTTCGGTCTCCCATGTGGGTGCAGCGGCCCAAGCACTTGGGCCATCTTCCACTGCCATCCCAGGCCGTAGCAGAAAGCTGGAGTGGAAGAGGAGCAGCCAGGACTAGAACCAGTGCTCATTCAGAAAACTGGCGTTGTAGGCGGAGGATTAACCTACTATGCCACAGTGCCAACCTCCTATATATTCTGAATATTAACCCATTGTCGTATGTATGATGACTTGCAAGTTTCTCCCATATGGGTTGCCCTTTATCCTGACTGTATCCTTTGATGCACAAAAGTTTTAAATTTTGATGTAGTCCAATTATCTAATCTTGTGCTTGCTGCTTGTACATTTAAGGTCAAATCCAAGAGATCACTACCAAATCCAGTGACAGGAGGCCTTTCTCCTGTGATTTCTTCCTATGAGCGCTGTAGTCTTAGGTGTCACACTCAAGTGTGTTTGAGTTGACTTCTGTAAATGATGTCACCTAAGGGCCCACTCCATTATCTGTATGTGGCCATCCAGTTTTCGTGACACCTTAAAGACTCCACTTTTCAACAGCGTCTGCAGGTACTGAAATTTGAAAGGCTCTATTGCTTTAAGTCTATACAAAATAAATCTTAAAAAAATAAATGAAAAAGTTCATGGGCAAATGGAATTAAAAGATTAAGTTTATTTTGATGCAAAATTTTATAACTCATTCAGTCTTACTGATGCCACTGCCAAATCTGTTAAACTATTTTTCTAGGGGCTGGCAGCGTGGCGTAGTGGACTAAGGCTCTGTCTGCAGTATGGACATCCCATACGGGCACCTGTTCATGTCCAGCTGCTTGTCTTCAGATCCAGCTCTCTGCTTATGGCCTGTAAAAGCAAAGATGGCCAAAGTCCTTGGGCCCCAGCACCTGCGTGGGAGACCTGGAAGAAGCTCCTGTCTCCTGGCTTCAGATTGGCCCAGCTTTGGCTGTTGCGGCCTTTTGGGGAATGGGCTAGTGGATGGAAGACCTTTCTTTCTGTCTCACCCTCTCTTGGTCTGTAACTCTACCTTTCAAATAAATAAATAAAATCTTAAAAAAAATTATTCTTCTATAAATTTCCATTTGATTTTTCTTTTTCCTCTCAACTACTTATTATTAAATTTTCTAATAATATAGAAAAGTTGACAGCACAGTGAAAGCTAGGTTCGACAAACATTAGTGTTCTGTTCTGTAATGCCTGCATTTTGAAATTATATATTCCCTTACTGAGGAAGCACTTACGGTTTTAGCACCAAAATAGAATCTTGGCAAATACGAATTAAACAGTTTCATGATATCCTAATGAAACTTGGGCAGTTAAGGAGAAAAGGGGTAGCATCCACTCCAGTTCTATGGAGGAAGGATCTTCTCCTCGGCTACAGCCTTAAAAGGGAGCGCTCTTGGCCTAGCTACTTCCCCCACAGGAATTTAGCCTAAGGAAACAGATGGGGATGGAATGTGTTCACATAGCACCAATCTAGTAACAAACACCTGGGCACAGACAACCCAACAGGTCAGCAAAGGGACAGTGTGAAAATATTTCCATAACATACTGTCAACAGATTACTTACAGTGTCCAGAAGGTGCCCATTAAAAGAAATACTCACATGTATATGAAAATAAGGAAGAATGGAAAGAACACAAAGGGCTTTAGTAACTATCTGATGACTGAACATAAGTTCTCCCTCAATGGAGGGACTGTGGACGTTTTAAATGTCTTCCATTGGCTTGTTTGTATTTATATTTCCACAATTACTTATTATCCCTAAAATACAACAACACCATCTTAAAGTAGGAAAACAAAACAGGAATAGCCCACCTGTGTTCATATGGCCCCAATTCACATCACGGGCCGCTCTATGAACACGTGTCTTTCCCCCTCGTCTGGGGTCTGTAAGGGCAGAAACCGTGTCCAGGGCATCTCCAGGCCCCAGGACTGCATTTCGCAGGCTCCAGGTACAAAGGAGCCAACTGCAGCAGACCAAGGAAGACAACACAGAGCTCCCAGCTCCACACGCATCACATTTCACAAACAGAACTTCCAAGGTCAGAGACTCCCAATTAGATATTTACATACCCCAGACACAGCACTTTGGAGTTACTTCTCTGCTTTTACTAACCAAATCTACTTACAGGGCTTTTGAACCTGGAAAGTCAATTCACTAAAATTCCATTCATCTCTTGCAGAGTTGAGTACTTTGTTATTATTATCCCCTCCCTGGGAGAGCTGTAAGAATCCTTTCTATTGGCTTGAAATCTCACTTTCATAAAAGGAAGACAAGCCCGCTTCCCTCTGGAAATGGTGGGGAGTACAACAGGAGCCCCAGGAGGGACCAGTGTGGACACGAAGCGTGAACAGCTGGTCATGGCAGATCTGTAAAGGCAGAGGCCTGAAACTGACCTCCTGCCAGAGGGCACCCATCAAGAACGCAGTTTAAGTCACTTCCTCCAAAGTGATAAAGGAAAGCTGTGTTGCATGACTTACAGTGATACTACACAACGGTGGAAATAAAGTTTAAAAAACAGTGTGCAGTGGGTTAAGCTGCCACGTGGAACACCTGCATCCCACGCTGGAGTGTCTGTGTTAAGTCACAGGTACGTGTTTCCAATCCAGCGTCCCGCGAATGCATCCTGACAGGCAGCGGATGATGGCTCAAGTGCTTGGGCCTGACACCCACGTGGGAAACCTGGATGGAGCCTGGGGCTCCTGGCTTGGCCCTGGCCCAGACATGGCTATTGTGGGCATTTGGCGAGTGAGTCAGCAGATGGAAGATCTCTCCCCGTGCCCTGCCTTCCAAGTAATGAAAATAAATAAATACCCATTTAAAAAAATTAAAGAAATTAAAAAACAATGATATATGGTTGTCTGGATGATCTCTGTAGATTTTAAGCTTTTATAAAATTGTTTAAAGTCTGCTTTATATTTAAATAAACTAACAAAAGCAATTTCATTCGGAACATTTTTCATTCTTGGTGTGTCTACAGCCATATTCAGCAGAATCTTTTATTCCAAAGTAATGCCTTTGGAAATGATTCTCAAAAGAGGAGAGACGGGCCTCCTCCAACTACCAACCTCCGAAGAATCCGAGTCTCTCTGGCCTCTGAGAAAGTACTTCGTCCCCCAGGGAATCGGGAATGTTGAGTCAGGATAAGAGGAACTAAGCCATCATTTAAAAAAAAATCACATAAAAGTGTAATTACTACAAGTGAAAAGAAGGAAAAGCACAGGGCCCAGCGACTGCTGGGAGAGCCAGGAACTCCCCTGGGCAAGGAGCGAAGTGGTCAGGGAAGCTTCTGCGGCAGGGCCACTGGAGCGGAGCTGTGAAGGGGGAGGGGCCGAAGGGGGTAATCACAGGCGCTAACTACCTTGAGGCAGAGGAACAGCTAAAGCAGCCAACAGTGTGGGCCAATCGGAGGGGAGACAGACTTGCGCGGGTCCTAGCGCAGGTGTTGCAGCCTAGAAAGAAGCCACCATACCTTCAGCAGGGTGCGGAGATCCTCTTTAGTGGACTGTCCGTCGACTCGAGTGACCCTGTACTCCAACCACTGCTGAACTATGGCTTTCTCTTCTGCGGTACTCCCCAGCAAATACTCTTTGTTGGCCTGCTTGACTAGATGAGTTGCTATAGTGGTCAGTCCTGTTAGACTGGGGCCATTGTTTGTTTGAAGAACTGGAATCTTAAAAAGAAGAAAATGTTCTTCAGGTAAATTTCAAAAACAAAGACCTTCATGACTGTCAGTTCCAAGTAATCACTAAATCTGTCAATGTTTTTTTTCAAGTTCTCTTGGATTTTACTCTAAGATTTTAAACAAAGACAGGAAATCAGACACATAATTTACAATTTGATAAGCTGATGAAAACAGCACATAACAAAGACACATACTACACAATGTCCAGCTGTATGTACAAGAACAAGAAAATCCCAATATTATGTTTAATTCCATTACCTACATTACTACAAAAAGGTGAACAAATTTAAATAAACCTGACTTCTCTTTATTTCCCATATGACAACAGCAAACCAAAGAATCAGATTTATTCGGTTATAAGAAGTTATTTAGGGGCTGGCGCTGTGGCACAGCAGGTTAACGCTCTGGTCCCTGCATCCCATATGGGCACCAGTTAGAGACCCAGCCGCTCCACTTCCAATCCAGCCTCTGCTATGGCCTGGGAAAGCAGCAGAAGATGGCCAAAGTCCTTGGGCCCCTGCACCCACGTGGGAGAACCCGGAAGAAGCTCCTGGCTCCTGGCTTTGGATTGGTGCAGCTCCAGCCATTGTGGCCATCTGGGGAGTGAACCATCGGATGGAAGACCTCTCTCTCTCCTCTCTCTCTCTGCCTCTCCTTTCTCTGTATAACTCTGACTTTCAAATAAATAAATGTCTTTTTAAAAAAAGAAGTTATTTAAAAATTACATTAATTGAAATTTTCTTGATGCATAACTAAGTACAAAGCTTATGAGAAATTTAAAAGAAACAGGAAAATATCCTCCAGTGACAAGACTAACCAAACACAAGTAACAGTATAACACCTAAATGACTTAGGCAGGCAAAAAAACAAACATTTGGGGAGGCTGCTGCTGTTTTCAGCCATGAAACAGCATCTTGTACTGTGCAGTGAGATCAACACTTTATGGACAGATGGAAGGGTACCTCCTAAAGGTAAAGGAAGTAACTAAAGGTATTTTTCTACTTCGCCATCCACTATTTAGCTTCTTGAATCTCACCTTTGCCTTCACACTCCAATGAAATTATAACCTCCCTGACCACCAATAACTTCCTCTTAAAAAATGCAGTGACGGAAAAACGTTGACATCACAGAGAACCCCTCCTGCTCCCTCCAAGATGTCACTTGTCTTCCCTGCAAGAGGCCGCGTCTTATCACAGAAACCCACCTCTTTCTCCATGCGTCACCTTTCCATAGCTGCCCGCGGCTAGAAAATGTTCTTATAAAAATAATATTAAAAAAAAAAAATCCCGTCCTGAACGCAGAGCTGTCACAGCTGAGTCTCAAACTCTAATTCCGGCGCGTTGCATCGTTCTTCATAGCTTTCCTAGGATTCCAAACCTCCCAATCTTCCCCAATTCATTGGCTTCTACACATCTTTCGATGCTTACTCTCTTACACAGCCGCTTTTCTGTGTGAAGCTTTTGCACTTAGCGTTTACAGTCAGCACCAACTTCCTCTCCCACCCCCTTCCCTAATGTTCCCCCCCACTGCGCATGCTCTCACTGCTGATGAGGGTTTCTCATCCTAGATCAACCCCTATTCTGGATAAGATTCCGTCTTGGCAACGGTCCCTGCAAGCCTAAACCGAACCAGGGAGGAGGCATCTGCCTGAGGACGGCGGAGAAAGCCCAGGCCGGGGCTGTCACCACTCAGCGGATGGCCGGCAGGCCGGCCGCCTCACCGCCCCAGCTTCGGGTTCAAGTCCGCGCAGAAATGCCAGCGCCTAGACCTGAGCACGGACCGAACGCAGAACGGAGGGGCCGAGCTCTCCAAGGGCCGCACACACACGGAAGCATCCAAGATGCTCCCAGCACCTCCCGCCTCCGCCCCAACCGGCGCTCGACCTGTCAGTGCCCTCGTGGGAGCTCCCCAGGCCTCAGCAGAGCTCGCCCTCCTCCCGCAGCCCGGTCCAAGCCCCCACCGGGGTGCATCGCTCCCTTCCTCACGGCTGCAATCCAGACAGCGGCCCGGCTTGACCAGCAAGGGGAGGGGAGGCAGCGTGTCCATCGGTCACGACTGCGGTGTGCCCCAGGCCCCGCACACAGCCACCCGGGCCCCTGGCAGCTCTCAAGCAGTCGCCGCCTGACGGAAGGGAGCAACGAATGCAACCGCCTGGCTCTCCCCGTTCGCACCCGGGCTCCTTCTCCCTCAGTGGAACGCTGACAGTGTCCCCAGCCCAGGCCCAGGACGACAGGGGCGCGTTCCCTCCCCTGCCTCCGGGAACCGAGGCTGGAGGACGCCGGGCGGGCCCGCGGCGCAGACACGTGGGAGCTGCCGAGCCGCCTCCTCGCCCCGCCGGCCACGTCCTGCCCGGGCCCCGCAGGCTCTGCTCCAGTCAGCCTCCGCCCCGCCGTCCTGCCCCTGCTTCTCACCTGTCGCTCACCCTGAGCGCTGTATTTGTTCCCCTTACTCAGCCCCAGGGATTTCTCCAGCAGCGTCAACTCCGCGGCCGCCGCCATCTTCTGGCCCCGGCTTCTGGCGGGGGCGGGACCTGGACCGAAAGGAGCGCCGGCATTGGCAAAGAGGGAGGCAGCACGCCCGAAAACGTACCCGGCTATTGGCTGAACGCAGGGGGGCGTGGAGGGCACGCCGACGCCTAGGAGGCGGGGCCAAAGGAAAGGGGCGGGGTCGAGGGTTGGGACCGACAGGTGCAGACGCAATGGCTAGTTTCTGGTCGTCTTGAGTTCTGGAATTTCTGGCAGAGCCAGCAGCAGAGTGGAGCTTCGACTGCGGCGGTGGACGGATTCTGCCGAATTCTAACGGCGGGTGGCTTGGCCTGGCTGCCACAGTTAACGCGTTAATTCTTTCGGCAGGCTGAAATTTTGTATATAATAGGAACGAAATTTAGCCTGATTTACCCTGTTTGGCTCAGGAGTTTGTGAATTTGAGCAATCAAATTAAATAATAAGGAGTTTACAGTCCCTCTACGGCTTCTTATGTATTGTGTCATTCATGGGGATTTTAGTTGTGTTGTAATGGCGAATTAGAAAAGCTAATTTTTCTACTGTCAACCTAAACTCCACAGTAGCAGATTTATAAAGATTAGGAATAGAGCACTGGGTATGTTAGGTAGTGTTCAAATAATTGCTATAGAACAAGAAAATCAGCCGTTAATGATTTTAATAATCTTTGTATACCAGAAAGATGAAGTGTGAAATACTCTACATAGCTTTTGGAATGTAAATACACAGCACACAGGACTAACCCCTCCCCCAAGTTGCTGTAATTCCTGTGCCTTGGACGTACACAATGGGTAGTATATGTTGACACCTTAATGTTTTCTTTCTAAGATTTTATTTATTTGGGAGGCAGAGTTACAGACAGAGAGAGAGAGACTGGGAGAAAGGTCTTCCATCCACTGGTTCATACCACAAATGGCTGCAACGGCTGGAGCTGGGCCAATCCGAAACCAGGAGCCAGGAGCTTCATCCTGGTCACCCGTGTGGGTGCACTGGCCCAAGCAGCCCCTCCACTGCAAGGTGCAGTAACAGGGAACTGGATAGGAAATGGAGCAGCTGGGACTTGAACTGCCGTCCAGCTGGGATACTGGCGCTGTATGCAATGGCTTTACCTGTTACGCCACAGCGCTGGCCCCTCAAAACATTTCTGAAAATAAAAAGTGCTTTCCACATTGAAGAATGAATAGACAAAATGTGTATTAGTCTGAAAGACAGGAATTACTACCAAATAGTTCATGGGTTGAGTCAAAAACTCTTGCGTGGAGAATGATGTGACTGTGTTACGCTGCCCCTATCCCGATTACTCCATGAGTTCACCCTAGCAGCAGAAGTAAGCAAAAGGAAAAGAAAATTTTGCCAAATCAGCGTGACAAAGTACAAAGGGAGTTCCAGGATAAGTGGATTGTTGTGTACTAATTATATTTCACTTTTCATATACAAAGAATTGAATAACTATTTTACTACTACTTTTTTTTTTTTGACAGGCAGAGTGGACAGTGAGAGAGGTCTTCCTTTGCTGTTGGTTCACCCTCCAATGGCCGCCGCGGCCGGCGCGCTGCGGCTGGCGCACCGCACTGATCCGATGGCAGGAGCCAGATGCTTCTCCTGGTCTCCCATGGGGTGCAGGGCCCAAGCACTTGGGCCATCCTCCACTGCACTCCCTGGCCACAGCACAGAGCTGGCCTGGAAGAGGGGCAACCGGGACAGAATCCGGCGCCCCAACCGGGACTAGAACCCGGTGTGCTGGCGCCGCAAGGCGGAGGATTAGCCTAGTGAGCCGCGGCGCCGGCCCTATTTTATTACTTCTAATAAGGCCAGTCCCTTGCAAAAATTTACGTATCTATTTTCAGGGTTTAGATACTTTTTTCTTGCAATAAAACAGTTTTTAAAGATTCGCAGGCAATCGAAGGATGGCAACTTAAAATAAAGCTGAGATTTGGGTTCCAATATAAAATATCTGAAAGGATATTCATCCAAATGATAAAAGAGGTCACTTTGGGGGAATAAGATTAGATAACTGTAATCCATAAGCCGTACTTTGGAAATTTATATTCATTAAATAAAAGTTAAAAAAAAGATTAGATAACTGGTGGAAACATTGCTTTTTAAATTATGCATTTTGATTTCAATTGCTGCTGATAAATTTTGTAAGGAAAAAAACCTCATCTAGTTACAAACTGCTTTCTTCCTTTAGAATCCTGAAGGTTTCTGACTGTGACTTTCCTTCTTTTCCCTAGATTCTCTTTTTCATCAACGATGTGCATTCCTGGAGGAGAAAATTGGTTGTACGTGTGCTGCTGAGATCAAGCAAGTGATGCCACGTAAAAGAGGCACCACTCTTATTTAAATTGGATCGCAGGAGTCTGTAGTCTCCACTCAGCCCTAACTGGCGGTCACGCCAGGGCAGGCAGTTAGCCCCACTGGGTCTCCATTTCCTCAAGGACAACAAGAGAGGCTTGGATGAGAGATGCTTTCTGGTCCCTGTGAGTTTTGATTTTCTGTCTTTTGATATTTTGATACTTTTGTCTTAAAGTGAGCGTGCATTTTTGTACTGTTAATGCCATTTTGATCTTTGGCTAACAGGGCCTTTTGTTGTGAGTAATTGCTGTGAAAAACTGCAGTGGTTTGCTTGTGATGAGCAGAACTGAGGGTAGGAGAGTGGGGGCCTCTGTGTGCCTGCCACACTCTGGTCTCAATTCCAACAGAGAAAGGATCAGATATGCATCATGCAGGCAGGGAGGGCTTCTTGCATGTCAGACTTACACACCTGCCCGCGGTCCACACTCGGGCCCTGAGCTGTGTTTTGTGCTCTGCTGCTGTCTGTTTTTTGTTTTTTGTTTTGTTTTTGCGATTTACTACCCCCAGTTCATTATAAAGGATACAACTCAGGGAGAGCTAATGGAAGAGACAGGGCATATAATTGGGATGGGTGCGTTATTCATCAACCCAGAAACTTCCAAACCCCAGCATTAAGGGTTTTTATCTAAGTTCAGCTTGGTAGGCATAGCTGATTAAATTATTAGCTGCTGGTGATGGGGTCATTGATTACAGGCAATGAAGTCAATCTCCAGCCCCTCTTGGTCCTAACCCCCTAACCACCAGGTTAGTTTCTCCAGCAACTAGCCTCCCCATCTGAAGAGCCACCTCATTAACATAAGCTCAGGAATGTGGAAGGGGGCCTGTTATGAGTAACAAAAGATCACTATCACTCAGGACATCCTAAGGGATTTAGAAGGTCTGTGACAGGAACCCGGATCAAAGACCAAATTACATTTCTTATTGTAACTCTGGTCTGAGGACTTCAGCCCTCTGTGGTTCCTCCACCTACAATACTCCAGGAAATCTGAATCATCCAGGTCTCTACTTGTTATATCTTAATGTTAGCCATCGCAAAGCACACCGGACACCGGAGTAAGGGAAAGGGTTTATTGGGGAACACCCTACAGACCGGAGTGAAGGGGCGGCGAAGGAAAAAGAGAGGGAGACTGTAAGAGAGAGAGACAGAGAGGAGAGGAGCTAGCAAGGAGAGAAGATAGAGCAGAGAAGAGGAGAGAGGAGAGCAGAGCCAAGAGAGACCAAGAGAGCGCAGGAGAGAAGGACCAAGAGCCAAGAGACCAGAGGAGGAGGCTGGAGAGAGGAACCGAAAGAGAGCAGGAGAGAAGGGGCAGGAGAGAAGAGCCAAGAGCCAAGAGAGCACGTGTTCAGGAACAGGCCCTTTTAAAACTTTGCCTGAGGGCGGGCAGGGAAGCAGGAGCAGAGAATCCCATTAGGATGGGGGTGGAGCCTGGCTCAGGTAGCTGGGCCATGCGGCCACCTGGCCAGTTTCCTAACACTACTCAAATGCCACCTCCCCAGGGAAGCCTTCCCTGACAGTCAACAGAAGGAATCTTCCTTCCTTAAGTCCCTACCCTGCTTTATTTCCCTTAGCGCACTTGTCAGTACCTGAAATAACACTATTTATTT